CCCCCCCCCCCCCCCCCCCCTTCCCCCCCTCCAATCCTCCCCCGTGCCAGTGACAGAGCCTTAGTGAAGCTCTGCACTTTCTCTAAGAACTAGTGCTAGGGAGTGGGTGGGTGTTGGGGGGGGGGGGGGGGAATTAAGAGGAGCCACTGTTCTCCCTTTATGTGAAAATCCACTTGGAAAAGACCTTTCATGCATAGAGTGTAGAACTGTATCAGAGGGCATAGATCCACCACCCACCCCCAAGACCTTTGGTTATCTGCTCACCTCTCATTTCCGTGGGCTGCCATGGATCCAGTTACGGTTCATAGGGCAGGTCATTGTTTTCCTATAAACGTGAGCGATAAAGCTGTCGCTGTGCCCGTCTCCATTTTTACACCGCGAGTTCTGCCGGTTCGGTCCCCCAGCATTAACTCCCAGGCACCTGACCGCTGTCCCCCCCCCACCCCGCCGTGCCCTACCCCACTATCCACGTGACAGAATTTCTGCAGCCAAGCCGCCCTCGAGGCCCTGGGGTCGTGCCTGAACAACAAGTACTCGGAAGGCTATCCCGGGAAGAGGTGAGGTCCGTCCGGATGTTCAGAGTGTTTTCAGTGGATGAGAAACAGCTTCCCATTACCCACAGCACGTCCACACTGACAGCAGCAAACCCGGAGGGTGTAGCCAGTGGCTGTGTGACTTCTATGGAGGCCCACACAGAGTTGTCCTCTTAGAGAGAGTGCCGGCATCAGGGTGGCAAACAGCATTTACACGTTTACCTTAAACACAGTTCCCCCTCCGCTGGAGAATTACGGATAAAAATGCCTTTTTAATGCTGAAGGGAGCCCGTCTGCACCTGAAGAAAGCTGCCACGGAAACGTGTCGGGGGTGGGGGGGGGCTGAAGGGCCCCTCTGTAGATACTGCCGGGTGGCTTTAAGCAGCCGTGAGATTTCCCAGAAATCCTGCACTGGGCGTTAATATGAAGTGTATAAAGATTGACTGTGTCTGTAAAGCTATTCTCAGCTACTGTGGTCAGGCAGCACTCCAGGTTTAATGCTTTTAGGCCAGAATCTTTTTATTAACATGAGTAGTGGCTCAGCAGGTCAAGGTGCTGCGCCTGTGACCGGAAGGTTGCCGGTTCAAATCCCAGGGTTGATTTCACCATTAAGCCCCTGAAAAAGACCCTTAGACCCTAGTTGCTCCTGGGACCGGCTGGCCCTGCTTTCTCAGATATGTATGTTGCTTTGGGTAAAACCATCTGCTAGATAAATAAATGCATGCCTTATTTTTCACGCAAAATAGTTCTGCGGAGATTTTAAATAGAAACCGTGGATGGCTTCGCAGATTTTACATTTCTTCCTGGGGTTTGTTACGATCCAGTCTAGGGTTGGACCGCAACAAAGTGAAAGGGAAGGAGGGATTGGGGAGGACAGGACAACTAGGGCTAGGAGAAGGGAACACGGGACACAGAGGGAGTCTTTTTTTTTTATAGTTTTTTTTTATAGTTTTTCACAAACACAATACAAACACTAGGTGTAACGAACG